ATTGAACCCAGGGCCTTGTGCATGCAAGGCAAGCACTCCACCAACTGAGCTATATCCCCAGCCAGAAATACATTATTTGGATACAAGATTTCTTTGCCATTTATGTATTTTATAATACATAAGATAGATTCATTTGCATATTTTATAATATTTAAGTATATTATTACACAGTGTCAAATCATTTAGAAGACAAGTTGGATTATCAGCAGATAATAAATTCTAATTAATCGTATCTATCTAGCATAGAACATTATTTTCAGGATGGACATGGGGTATGCACAAATCTAACTCTCCCAGTCTGATTGCCAATTGAGACTAAGTTATGTGCTTTTGGGACTTCTCCTGATCTTTTGGTACACCAGGGAGCCATTCAGCACAATGGAGCAGTAACTTGTTAAATTGAATAAAGAAAGCAGTTTCTGAATTTGGCTCAGTATACATTCCTGGAAGATTTTGCTCTCAATAGACACCTAGGGCATTATTTTTAGGAAAAAAAAATAAGATTAAGATAGATAAGAATGTAGTTATTGTTCTTAATATACCTCACTATGTTTTTTTAAGAAATTGAATACTTGTCTGTGAATATAAACACTATAACGCAGTCAGTGGTTTAAAATTCTAAATGAAAAGTATAAATAATAAAGAGAGAGAGAAATGGAGAAAGAGACACAGAGAGACAGAGACAGAAAGATACAGAAAAATAGAAATAAAGACAGAGAGCGGAGTAAAATGTTGTATATCTATTCTTCTCAATTCTCAAGTGTTCAGCAAGGCATGGTAGCACACACCTTTTATCCCAGCTGCTTAAAAGGCTGACGCAGGAGGATTGCAAACTTGAGACCAGCCTCAGAAAACTAGTGAGTTCCTGTCTAAAGTTTAAAAAAAAAATAAAATAAAGAGAGCTGGGGATGTAGCTCAGTGGTAGAGCACCCTAGACTCAATTCCCATTACCACAAAATGAAAAACAAAAACTTTTAAGTGTTCTGGAAATGTTTCCTGCAAAAAAGGAAATGCCCCACTTATTCCAAAAGGGTGGGGGGGAACTGCTGATTTCTTTTGACAAATGTCTCCACTTTGAGGCAACAAAATTTATATATTTTATAAAGAACTCATACATCTTAAAAAACTATACTGTAGTTAATATGTATAATGCTGTGTACAAATTCATGGAAAATTTTGTTATGTAAGAAAAAACATTCATTTAAAGTTTGAGACAATCATACCATGTGGATAGTGACCATCACAGATGAAAAATTTCAAGTCCTCTTTCTAAAACATGAAAAGAAGAAAAGTATTTTAAATTTATATGCTTTTTACCTTCAAGGTGAACACATATTTTCAGGGAAATATTGAGTGTGTGTAGCTGCAAAGCTTGGAAAAAACTCATAAACTTCTCTAGGTGTGAACCAAACATAAAAAGAAGAAAAAAGAAATCTTGAAAACACCATATCTCACTGACATAAATGGCTAGTTTTTGTTTTCACTGAACTGAACTAGGTCTTGCAAAAAAATATCTTTCAATTTATGAAATATTTTATTGCCACTGGTGACTAGGTACTTCTATTAGGACATTACAAGGACTCATTTTTAGACAGAATTTGGAGTTCATTTTTATTACTCTTAATTTCTGTTCATCCTCTGGTGACAGTATATTTCTTCTACATTCTTTTTAACATTTCCCCTTTTAAAAATACAGAAATGAGCTGCGTATGGTGGCACATGCCTGTAATCCCAGTGGTTTGGGAGGCTGAGACTAATGGATCAACAATGTAAATTTATTTCCATTTGTATATTTTAATGTTATGCTCTCATAGTTATGTCATTTATATGATTCAGTGGAATAACTGTGCTGTAGGTAAATAAATTATATACATATACATATATATATGTATATATATATATACATATATATATATTACATTTTAACTTTTTTTAAGTGTAGAGACCTTTAACATAAAGTATACATATTCACATAGTGCAATCATCACCCCATCCATCCTCAGAACTCTCTGGTTATTGTGAATGAAGAGTGAATGAAGAATCTTCTTTTGTTTTTTTAATTAAATTTATTTTAACTGATTCATGTAAAGCACAAAATTGAACACATTAATGGGGTAATGTGATTTTAAAAACATGTATATATTGTAAAATCAGGTTAAACTTATCTATCTCTTCAACATTTATCATTTCTTTATTGAGAAAGGTATTCAAAATCCTTTATACTAGCCTTTTGAGATATACCTTATACAATTACTATCTATAGTCACCCTAGTGTGCAATAGCATACTGAAACTTCTTACCCCTGATTGCAAGTAGTACCCATTGATGAAGTTTTCCCCATCTCTCTCCCCTTCACAGAACTCTTTTATCTCCTCTACTGTTGCTGTGTACTCATTAATAATATCTTCTTAGCTGAGCATGATGGTGCAACCTGTCATCCTAGTAACTTGGGAAGTGGAAACAGGAGGATCACAAGTTCTAGACCTGCCTAGCAACTGAAACCTTGTCTCAAAAAAAAAAAAAAATAGAAAGGACTGAGGATGTATCTCAGTAGAGAACACCTTTAGGTTCAATCCTCAGTACCAAAACCAAACCAAACCAAACACCTCCCCATTCTCTTCGAACCCCAGACTCTAAAAACTAACATGTTACTTTCTCTGTAAATTTGACTACTCTAGGTTACTCATAAAAGTGGACTCATACAGCATTTGTACTTCTCTATGGTATATTTTACTTAGCTTCATATCTTGGAGGGTCACCCATGTTGCATCATGGGTCAGAATTTCATTCCTTTCTGAGGCTGAATAAATGTACAGGCCACAACTTTGCTATCCATTCATCTGTCAATTGGTAGAGCTGCATCTGCTTTTGGCTATTGTGACTAATGCAGCTGTAAGCATGTGTTTACAAATGTCATATTAGTGCCTGATTGTGTTCTTTTTTGGGAAAAATCAAAAAATGAAATATTTGGACCATTAGGTGATTCTATATTCACTTTTTGGAGGAACTATCATACTGTGTTCCACACTTGCTGCACCAT